GGAAACTGCCGCGTACACCTGTTAAGTCTTTTATAAACGTTCTCGTCCTGACGGTTTCAAGGTATAGAGTGTTTTCACATGACGTCACGGCGACCATATTGGTGTCCCAAAACAATGAAACGACGGCCATGTTGTGTCCCAAACCAATCCTGTGGGAGTTGAACTCCTTTCTTATGCAAACGCTATCTTTTGTTCCAATAAATTTGCATAGATGCTGGCCACGTGAGTGAAAACACTCTATTTAATTTACAGTGTCTGTTGCAGGTGTCGAATTAATCTTGCAGCAAGTGGAAACGTGGCCACGCCTGCTGAAACTGAGATTGCTTGTAGGATGAACGGCTATAGTTTGGTATATTCACGAGCGTGTTTTGTCCAGTGAACTGAGTGCGTAGTTTTTCTTAAAGAAGGGATGGGGTGGGTCAAGTGAATAGTTCGGGGAACGTTTGCTCTCTTTAGAGGGGGGTATATTTGTTGATATCAGGAGTTCTGGCCTGGATAGAGTCGTTGTAAAGCTATTTTAGCTTCGGAGTATCGGTTTACCGGAAGCTGAGCAAGGAAAAGTCAATGGTGCATTTATGGAATAATAATAGAGATTCTCATGGTCTAACAGTGCGAAGATTAGACTTCTGGTAAGGTGGCAACGATCAAGGCCCGAATTATAATTCATAATAATTGAAGGTCATGACGTAAAAAAAGCGACTGAAATGGTGGATGCCATGCAATCCTCTCGGGTGGGGGCGGCGTACTTGGCCTTAACGGTTGCCCCTGCGACAGAAGGCAAGCATGCCCAGATTGTCCACGGGTTGCTAAATGAGACCGTCCCTTTCTTAGTACCCGTTCCCTGTCTTATAATTAGACCCCGGAAAATTTCTCGAGATTGCAACATCATTTTGGGCTTAAAGCTTCCAAAGTTCAACAATAATAGCGCATGTTCGCGACGGTTTTTTAAGTCAGTCAAGTTCTTAAACCAGGCCTTAAAAGGCCAGTTTTAAGTGTCGATAACAGTTAAAAAGGCATACAAGCCTCATGCAAAAGACAGTGGGAAGGAAGTGCACATCGGTGATGGGGAAAAAGGAGAAGCTCACAGTTATTTAGGGGTGGATCTTTCCAGGGGCGGATCTAGGGGGAGGGTGCAGGGGCTGCGCACCCCCTGAGATGACCTGCGGTTTTCTAATACAACTGGTATTCTGCAAAAAAAATAAACTATGTGGTTTATTGGTGTTGAAGTAGTAGAGCAAGAGAAGAGTGCACCCCCTCCTAAAAAAAATCCTGGATCCGCCCCTGCTTTCGAAACATTCCTATACTCTTGGACAGATATGCATTGTTTAAAGTTTTAGACAAACCAGGTGTAAATTTATAGTAACAAACTGTTAAATATACATCAGCAAGATTTTTGCGAATCCTATTTTTCGCTGGAGACTATCGTTTACTGGCTGGTCACGCAATCAAAGGTAACGTACTTTCCTACGTTTGTTTACTCACCTTTCGCTCAGCAATACACTGCGTTCCACAAAGGATGCAAATTGCGCTACAAATGTTTTGCTATTCGGCCCTCTTTTTATCTCAGGTAAGGCACTGCAAAGCTGATTCACTTACGAAGATTCGAGGGAGAATTATTTCTTGATGTTATTCTGATTTCGCAGTCACGGGAAAACAGACCTAGACTCAGGTCCACTCGCAGACGCCATGGTACAATCTACAAGATCTCAAGAGCAGAAATTACCCATTGGACGGCCTCTCCTTTTGAAGATTGCGTGTATTTCATTAAAACAGGTAGATATTAAAAGAATCTTGTTAGTTTCGCCCTTTTAATGAGCTCAAATCGATGCATAAAACTAAGGTGACGTGCACGTGTCAACTGACCCTGGGGTCAATTAGCGGTTGTTTGGGGCAAAATAACCTCAAAATAATCAATCTATTTTACAAGCGTTCGCGAGAACACCAGACTAACTTTCAGGTAATGTTGAAGTACTATATCTCAGTAGGTAGTAAGCGGGATTTGGGGTGATTTGGAGAATTCCCCCATATAGAAAATTCGATTTTGGTTTTAGCGGTAAATTGTTGTATTTATAAGCATTATGCAAATTACGTTTCAAAATTCTGCTGGTTCGTCGATATTTTATGCTCTAAATCTAAAAAATGTGCCGTTCAGAAATTGTTAGACATCTGCTTTTTGAGATTTAAGTGGAAGATTGCCAATATATTCGCTCGTTTATGAAAGTCAGCTCATTTCTGTCGCTAGGCTATATTGCCGTGTTCGGCGGCTAATTTTAGGCCCCCAGACCGTTGAAATCGAAAATCTTAAATAATTCCCAAACTCGGCCGCATTTTGAAATTTAAACCTCAGCAGTGTTATAAACTCATTAAAACCTTATTACAGACTGAAAATGAGGTTAAGTTAGGTTTTGAGCTGTGGCCACGATTTGCCGATTTTGCTCGATTTTTCTGTGCATTCGCTCTTAAGAGGAGACAACCGCAAAACAGGTCATTTCACGTCGTTGATGGAAGGAGAACGGCTCTGAAATGTACAAAAATGAAAAATGCACTTGCAAAGCATACAAAATTACTGTTTTTCACTATCAAATATGCAAATGTATGACGTTCTTGTCGTCGTCCTGGCTACTTAATAGGGAGCTTTAGCATCGACGACGGCAAATTGCAGCGATAACGCCATAAATTAAAATTTGATTGGTCGAAGGAGGAAAAATAAGCGTGCTGCACGTGCAGCACGCACTTATAAACAAGTCCGTGCCGTCCTCTGCAAAACAACAACGTGAAATTACCACATTTACCGTTCTGATGACAACTTGAGCATACAACTGTAAATCTGTAATTCTCTGTATTTAATTCAACGGCGCGAACACCAGTCCAGTTGTGGCTTGCTTTGCCAACACAAGATATGACAATCGCAAATAGTCACAATTGCGCAAGTGTTTATTTTCAAGTGCCGTTTTCCTAGCAGTCGCCGTCGTCATTGCTAAAGCTCCCTAATTAAGCTCCTTGTTAATAAGTTGCGTACGAGATATCGCACAGCCCTCACTCTTCCACACCGGGTGTTTACTCAAATCTCTTCTAAAGACTTTCGATTTCTTGAGTTGCCATCCTGAATGGCTGCTAATTTTACACTCAGGGTCAAACCAGCAGCTTGCATAAATTGAAATAAATCTATGCGTGTTTCCTCTTACTGATGATAAAAATTAGCCAATTAGCACTGTAGAATATCTGATAGACCTAAAAAACGTATAATTTGCGGTATCCTCTTTTTTTGTCACAGGACTTCAATCAATTATCTTCTCATGAACCTGGCTGTTGCCGACATGCTTGTGGGGTTATTTTTCACCCCTCAATATATTTTTAAGCACATGTTTACCCATCCTGGCGGTCTTGCTGGCAACGTCCTTTGTAGGTTACTGACGGGTAGCAATGTGGCCTGGGTCGGAGGTGCCGCATCCGTGTTCACGCTGGTTGTCATAGCAATTGAACGCTACAGCGCCGTCATGGATCCATTTGGGAACAAAGGAAGACTTACAAAACGCAGACTGAAGGTAACAAAGTGACATGATATAAATTGCGAATAGTTCATAAAAGTGGTGAAATAATGTTTGCATTTAATCCCAAAAAAGATTTCCTAGGCTATTTCCTTAAATTATGAGTGAAAGAAATGTTGGTGAGGTGTGGCTGAGATATGTATTGAAGAAATGATCTTTACACTTGCTGGACAATCTCAGCGATTGTCTCATATATGCACTGAAAAATTTTCAGGTGCATATCGCTGAGATTGTCTAGCAAGTGTGAGGATCATTTCTTCAATTCATTCCTTACAGTGCTACGCGCCTTACCGTTGCCACTCGAGAAATTTTCGATTAAATTTTGACAACTTTTTGCTAACTTCAAAACGAGCCAGCCAATCAGAACATGAGAATTTCCAAGGGCGGAGATGTCAAATAATAAGTTCATTCACTCCCTTGGGAATTTACAGGTCTCACAACAAGAGGACGAAAATGGCGTTTCAGGTGAAAGTGGAATACGGAGGGAAACGCTTCGCAACTTTTCTCTTAGAAAACGTATCATACGATGGTCTTGTAAGTAGCATAAGAAAGAATTGTTCTTCTTTGGCTCACCTGGACGCAGATAATATTAGACTTCGCTACCGTGACGAGGATGGCGATATGGTGAATGTTTGTCAAGCAGATTTGTTTGCGTTCTCGGAAATGCTTCGCACGTCAAAAGAAGTGAAAGACCGCGTCTGCAAGAAAATATTCATTCAAGCTAACGAAATTGACTCTCTGTGCCCGCGCAAAATGAAGCGAGTGGATTCTGGCGTGGAAAATCCAAGTACCGGCGACGAACTTAGTTGTTTAGAACCCAAACAACTGTCATTTTATGCACCAACTTTTCCGTCAGCAAGTTTCACTGAAGACGCGCGAGCGAGTCCCGCATCAGCTCAAAATGACCAGCAAGGATGTAGCCCGTTAGATTCAAAACAACAGGAAATGAAAGACAGTCTTACTGTTTTGCAAGTGCAGATAGTTACTGCAAAGGAAGCACTGCAAAAACTTAATCAGCTAGAGAACGAGTACGTGACACTCTCAAGTCTTCGAGGACGCGTGTGCAATAGAGCGTTTTCACATGACGTCACATTTTTCGCGGGAAATTTGAGTCGCCATGTTGGTGTTCCACATTTTTCAACATTGCGGGATATCCTCTCTCAGATAATGCCAACACGCTCGATCCCCACGTGAAAAAACGCTATTTAGAGAAGATTTCTTGTGTTGGAATCGATCCTGTCTTGATACCAGACAAAACGTACGATCCAGAGTGCGTGCCTCCTGTCGAATCCATGGATTTATTGTCGTTTTTGGTGCTCGACACGAGTTATTACAGTAAGGACCAATTTAAGGATTATAGAAGTTTGCAGTCTTATAACCAGTTGGTTTCAGGATTTGTAAGTAGCGTTAAAGGACAAAAAATAGGCAACAAATACATAGTGTCTGGGAAAGTCAGACATTCACAAAGAATGAACGATCCATTTGTCGCACTTTGGATAATAACCGAACACAATGGTACGGTTCTCTTCGCTCACTGTGTGGGATGCATGGCGGGTCAAGGGGAGTGCTGATCGCATATCGCAAGTGTTTTGTTCTACATCGAGGCATGGAATCGGATAAACGAAAAATTAACCTGTACACAGGTAAAATGCACCTGGCTGTTACCCACCGCTGTGAAAGAGGTTGCTTATGCCCCAATCGCTGACATTGATTTTCGCTCAGCAAAGAGACTTAAGCGAAATTTGGACGAAACCATCAACAATTTGACGACTACCAAAGGAAGTACAGGCACTCATTCTAGTGAGGTGGCAAAGGTGGCAGCTCCCGTCCCAGGTGATACTGAACTAATGAACTTTTATGCAGAACTGAATTCTTGCAAGACTAAGGCTGCGGCTTTAAGCTTGATTCACCCCTTCTCGGATGCTTTTGTTTCTAAGAGAAGAAACGTACCAACTATCGCAGATCTATTTGACAAGAAGTACCTAGACTTCGGGTATCATGACCTACTCAAGGCCTGTGAAAAAATTTCCCCAAAAATCACTGATGAAGAGGTGAGGCTCATAGAGGAAGATACCAGAAGCCAGTCAAAGGGCTCTAGCTTCTATCGTCACAGGGCTGGGAGAATTGGGGCATCAATTAGCAAAGCAGCATGTCACACCAACCCAGCACAGCCCTCACAATCACTTATTAAAACAATTTGTTACCCAAACATTTTCACATTTAGTACAGAGGCTACAAACATGGTTGTAAACATGAAAGTGCTGCTATTGAAGCTTATGAAAAGATCATGAAGGAAAAGCACATCAACTTTCAAGTAACGAAATATGACACGTTTATCAATAAACAGTATCCATGGTTACATGCCACACCTGACTTTTTGTGTTGGTGTGATTGCTGTGGGGATGGATGTGGGGAGGTAAAATGCCCCTATTGTTTAAAGGATACAGACTTGGAGCAGTATATTAACAAATACAACTCTTGTTTGAAGTCAGAAAATGGAGATGCAAGTCTAAAAAGGGAACATGCCTACTATTACCAAACCCAACAGCAAATATTCACTGCTGGAAAGCTTTACTGTGACTTTGTTGTTTGTGGTTTTCATGAGCAAATTGATCTCTTCTGTAAAAGAATTTTGCCTGATGTCAGCCACTGGCACTCTTTTGTTTCCAAACTTAATCACTTCTGGAGATACTGTGTGCTACCAGAAATTCTGGGAAGGTGGTATACTCAAAAGCGAAGTTTGTCTCATTCATCACCTGATCCCAATTCGGCTTGTTTTTGCAGACTGGCAACTGGAGGGCCTGTGGTAACATGCACAAACCAAGCATGCCCCATTTCTGCTTTTCATTTATCTTGTTTGAAAATTACAAAAGTACCTAGCAAGTGGTTTTGTCCCCTGTGCCAAAAAACACCAGCAGCCAGAAATGAAAAATCAAAATGTAAACAGACAAGAGATATTTTGGATGAAGCTCTCAAATTAGATTTTATCTGCACGTGCAAACAGAAGCCACTATGTTAAGATAAACTGCTGAAATGCCATAACCCATTTTGTCAAAGTGGAAAGTTTTTTCATTTGCCCTGTTTAAACTTCAAGCGGATGCCGAACAATGCAATGACAACTTGGGAATGTATGTAAATCAGGAGGAAAAACTGAACAAAGCAAAAAAGTTGTTAATGACTCTTTCAATACATCTGATGATGGAGTTGTGATAACTGGAGTTTCAAAATGCTCTTCAGAAAAGTCAGCATCACTTGCAAAGCTGAAGGATGGGCATTACCGACTGATTTCGTCACCCAATGGTTGGCTTGACTGTGACATTATCCATGAAGTACATGTTTGTCTCAGAAACATTAATCCAGATGTGGAGGGCTTATAGAGACCAACTTTGGGCCCTGACAGAAACTTCAATCAAGTTAATGGGGAATTTATTCAGATTTTGCATACTGGTAATGCCCACTGGGTTTGTGTAGGCTCAGTAGGGTGTGAAGATGGCACTGTCAACTTGTATGACAGTCTGTATCATAACATTATTCTAAATGAAGTACAAGAGCAGGTACTCAATCTTGTTGGACATTCAAATTTTACTGGCATTCAAGTTCTCCCTGTTCAACAACAGTAAAATGGCAGTGACTGTGGAGTATTTGCTGCGGCCTTTGCTACATGTCTTGCTTATGGTATACACCCTGAAACAGTGCAATTTGATGTCCTTAAAACGAGAAACCATTTATGTCAGTCTTTAAAATCTGGTGTGTTGAAAATGTTTCCTACATTTTAGACTGCATGAGGTACATCTTTGGTTAAAAAATTTTTGAAGAGAAAGAATAGCTGCTTTATTATAGAGAAAATAATATAGTTGCCCAATGGACCTGCATATTGGAAAGGAACAATCAATTCACATAGTAGTAATTTTACCCAATATATAACTAACCTGATAACTTCATTGACCACTAAGTTCTTGATTGACAAACACGGGAATCATTGTTGCCATTGTGTATGAACAAGACAAAATACTGCTGAAATACCAGGATATAATGCTCATCCCATGCTTAAACAGTAGCGCCTCCACAAAACCTTAGATCCAAAACCTTTATGTAGTTATTCAATGAGCAAATAGTGCTATCGTATATAGTGGACTACATGTATTCAATTACTGGTATCTAATGTTTGGCTCTCAGCGAATGAAAATCATTTAGAGGATAATTCTATCTGCTTTGATAATGATGAAGATGATGATGAGACCTTTATTCAAGTGTCAACCTGTACTAGCACTAAGTGATGACTCTAAAAGAAGTTTTAAAAGAATAAATAAATTAATTAATTCATTAAAGATGTAAAAAACCAGAATGTTGAGAAAAAAAATTAGGAAAAACTATGTAGTGTGTGCAAATAATAAATTCAGGAGAACTGTAAAGAATATGAACAAATGTAGCTATTACAGGTCAAATTTTACTTTAGGTTAATTTTGATTTAACCAAGGTTGATTCTCCCTTTCCTTTGTTTCCTAGCCCTAATTTATGAATAATTAGGGCTAGGAAACAAAGGGATAGAAGAGAAAGTAAAACCATTGGATGATACAGTGGAAACAGCTCAAGCCCGAGGCCAAGGCTTTGAATATTGATGACAAAGATGAAGAATGCTGAAACTCAAGAAAAAAAGTTATGAATGACATGGCTAAATTTTGTATTGTTTCACTTCATTCTACATTGCTATGCTTTTGTGAAGTATTATTGCAGGGTGAAGCCATTACAGTACAATACCATACATAACTTGGTCGGAGTATTAAATATCAATTCTGTCTCACTCATGTTTGCAAAGATATGTGTCTTATAAAAGCTGATGGGCTTACTCAAAGGGAACAACAGATGCGGAAAGATTTGTAAGGGCTGCACAAACCCTGATCATCCTGTCAATAAGTGGAATTTTTCCACTTTTCTCTGAACATGTCAAATAATCCATTGGTAGTATTCCCTGCAGGATAGAATACTTTTGCCTCAGGAGTCCAATGACACGCTCGACATGTATTCGCACATTCGCAATTCCTCGTGTTCGTTTCCCATCAAGTGGATCAAGTTGATTCTTTCCTCTAGTGAAGGCAGGGATAGCTAACTGTGCCTGGTAGAGTGCAACACTTTCCTGAATGGTGAACCCTCGGTCTGCCATAACAGGGTCCCCTGGCTTCAAGTGGTTCAATAAACCACACTTATCAGAAAAATAGACCCTTGGGGTGTAATTGCGATGAGCACCTTGACAGTATTGTGGTGTTTATAGTTAGAAAATGTTTGTGCTCTCCCTAGAAGATTTGAAGGTCGCTCTATGAAGATCTCAAAACAGTCAATAATAATGGTGGTTTTTTTTCCAAATGAGAACTGAAAACAAAGAGGCATCGTGTGCCAGAGCTCCTCTCGTTCAGGCCATCTGATGATAGGGGAAAGCTTGATATCCATCACAGTTAACCAGGTGGAGAAGGTTCTTGAAACTACTAAGAGAAACGCCAAACCTATACGCAAACCAAACCTATACGCAAGGTCTTAATAAATTCTTGAAACAAAGACAAACTTTTACTCCTTCCAGTGACGAATGGACTGATGAAAGAAAAAGTTGCTTTGAGCACATCAAAGCCCGGCAAACCAGTGTAAAACCTCACTCTGTCATCATGATCAGCAAAATATTCCTCAGTAAAAGGTTGCAGAACAGCTTGCTTAAATATATATTCAAATTCAGTTGTTTGGGTTTCAGTATTTTGGGTAGTTTTTACCCCTGACTCTGGCGTTTGAGTTTCAGCATTCATTGTTTTCTGGTCATGACTTCCGTATAATTCTTCCTTGGTTTCTGGATCTTTGTCATCAACACTCAAAGCCTCGGCCTCGGGCTCGGCCTCGTAGAATATCTCATCAGCTGTTTCCCCTGTAGCATCCACTCGTTTCCCTTTTTCTTCCACCTCCTTTTCTGAGATCTCTGCTCGACGTTTGCGTCTGTTGGCAGCTCTCTGTGCTCTAGCAGCTGCTTCTTCAGGATCCTATACATGCTGTTTTGAATGACCAAGATGGAGGGTAGGGACCCAATCTACGTTGAATCGATCCCAATATTTCGCAGCTTCTCCTGAAACGAAGTGCTGGCTGCAGACCCGAACACGTTCTAAAATATCATCAGTTAAGTCTTCTCTACTTATCGCAGAGATTCACATTCTTCTTCGCTCAGAAGTAAGTTCCCCGGTGTACTCTCCTTGATTGACTATAACACGTGGGACACGAAAAAACCTTACTTCTTCCCTGTTTTGTTCCCACAGCTAATGAAAAGGCAAAGGACCATGATAAAAACAATATTCTGGTTATCATGGAACACCAACATGGCGGATGAAGTCCGTTACCATGACGATATAGAAATTTGGTCACGTGAGTGAAAACGCTCTATAATTGTCATGCAACTGGCCATACCGAGACAACATGCCGCA